CCAACTAAGGATGTTTCAATCTAAAGTAACTTAAAAATAGAGTTGGGTCCTACTCCTATCCCAAGCGGCATTTTCTCCCTGTTGGACCCTGTTCTTTTAACGAGTTGTTATATCGTGGGAGCAATCCACAGTGAGCATGGTGCTCCCAAAGGCAAATTCGCGTGTTACTGTTCACACGCGTGAACAGTAACTTTTTTGTTTTGTTTTTTTCCTTGTCCAGCAGCAGGGTGATGTAACTCACGTGTAAAAAAATGTAACTCACGTTGAGAAAAGTGTAACTTCAGGCAAATCGAAATGTAACTTGTGTAATACGGAGTATAAAGAATACAACATTGATTTCAATGTAAACAATGAAAACAAGGAGTCTAATTGCTCAATTACTTTACGTAAATAGTGAATATATTTTATTTTTAATATCATGACCATTAAAAGGGTGCAAAAAAATTATTTTTTTGTTTCAATAGTAGAGGTTTATTTTTTGATGTAACTCATGTTATTACAAATGTAACTCGCATTGATGTCAAATGCAACTTAGGTGTATACAAAATGTTACTTGTTGAGGCAAGTCCAAATGTAACTCGCGCTTCAGAAGATGTAACTCACGCTTTAGAAGATGTAACTCGAATATAAAAAAATGCAATTTCATATATTACACACATATATACATACGTATATATACACCAACTAATTCCATCGATCGACATCGTTAGATATTCAACAGATTAAAAGGGTGACATGTTAGCAGATTAAAGGGTGATGCTTTAGTTTTAAAGTTTATTTACTTAGTTGAGTCAGAAAAGAAATTTGAAGAAGGTTTGAAGATTTGTCAATCGTTGCTCCAGTCAGTTGCCGACAAGAAAGAGAGAGGAATTTCTCAATCGTTGTTCCAGTCGGTGACTCTAGATTGAAGAGCTTTTGCAGATTGAAGTGGCTCCAGTCGGTGGCTCCAGTCGCAGCGCAAGATTGATCTGTTATTTTAATTGATAAAGCGGTGTCATTTTGGGATCGGCACACCTTGCTCACGGTGGGCCGATCCACGGTATAATTTGCGGTTCTTAACAGTGAGGTACACCCGGTTAACTCCCTAATTATCTTCCAAAAACCATCTCTAGTATGTCCAAACGGATCCTAAACCGAAAGTGTACTGAGTAAGGTAATCACGTAAAAAAACAAGTTTCAGGCGAAAAACTGATTTCGATCCAGAAACTGTCTTTGTATCAGTTATGGCGAGGCAGCGCTTATCCGATCTCTGTTCTTCGAACATCTCTTCCACAATCATTACTTTCTCAGGTACTCTCTCTGTCTATATATTTCTCCCACACACAAACTATGTATCTACACGATCTGCATATTTGTTTTTTTTCGTTTGATGTGAAAGTCGACCTTACTGTCACATAGTCACTTCAATCAATAGTACTGGGAATCTGACGCGAGTTAGCAGTTTGACACTGGCCCGAATCGATTACTGTCTCATTTCAGTGAATATCGTTTTTCCTAATCATGAATGTAGATATTTCTATCACTCTGTTTTGTGTGTTCTTGGAGGCAGGCAGCATTGTTTTTAACCACTCTGTGATATGTATGGTTATAAAGCTCGCATTTTCAGGTAATGTCTGTGGAGAAACTAGAAGCATTACTGCCTAATTGTTGGTTCTTTTGTTCAAGTTGAACTCTTGTAAGAATCTTGATTTTGATTGGCATTCAAGGGTTTTATTAATATGGTGATTGCACATTTGTTCATGTCAGCACGAGGACATGCACACACACTTAGACAATTACCCATTGTCCCAAACATACATATCCTTTTTGCACTCACGCTTGCTTGTCTGTCATGCTCGCTTTTGTTATACGAGTAATTGTTTGGTTTTCAGGTGTTCAAAAGTTGTGAACCACTAGTAAGTATATAACACTTATGTGATGTCTTTCAACTGGGGTGAGAAACAATGGAAATGTGGAAAAGGAGGCACTGTGAATTTGCAAAGAATGAGCTCAATTGTCCGTGACATTGGAGAGCCCTGTCTTCATCAGTCACCTATAAAGGTAAGATTTGCATCTACTGTATAAACTTCTATTTTTCCGCCAAGGGTGAGCCTTGTGACAATTGCAGAATTGCTACAAAAGAATATCACCCAAAAAAATCTGACTGTATTTATTGTATTAGGTTTTGATGTCTTGTACATAATGTTCTTCTTCCTGACTTCGTATTGTAATCATGATTGCAACCATTTGTTTTAGATAGCTTTCAAAATCGTAGATGGTTTTACTGTAAGCCTCTCTGATGCATCATTTAATACTCCACCCATATTTTATACAAAAACATGCAAATTTATGAAAATGAATGAAGAATCAGATGCTTAGGCATTGTCCTTGGTTTCTTACTTGGCCTTCTACATTCTTGTAATTTCAAAGTTCAACTGGTAGGGCTCTTTTCTAGAACTGTGTTACATTAAGATATATGATATTAATGAGGGGATGCCAGGACAAATTAGTTTGAGGATAGAATCTGAATCTTGTGATTCTTGTCCATGCCATTGGACGGTCATATCATCCATTCCACGGCATTTGGTGCGTTTGATTAAGATTAGTTGAAGCATATTCATGAAAGTCATGGAAACAAGAGATATAGGGTCTTGATGTGTGGACGGTTGTGTTAATGCAAGTGTATTTTCATGGACTACTTGATCTTTGTATGATTTTTGGTTTTAAACAAGTCACCTCCCGCTTTATTCAGTTTAGAGTTTAGAGTTTAAACTAGATATTACGTTAACATGTCCATGTTGTTTCAGAAGTTAAAGGTAGTGAAGTTTTTTCCCTTAGGAGTTAGGACTAGTATTATTTTTATATGCCATTAGTTTCCCTAAGTGGAAAAATGAGAAGACTTTAGTTTCAATTGAGAGTATTTTTGGTACTTTTCAGTAAAATAATAGTGTGGTTGTTAACTGCAATATAAATTCGTGTATGCTCTTGCAGAATATAAATGCTGAGTTAATTAGGTTATTATTGTTTCGTTCTTTCGTCAGTGTCATTTGACCTTGTCAGAGGACTCTGTAATTGTCACCACATGGCATTAGTACAATTTAAGAATATCTTGGAGCTCTGGAAAGATTTGAAAATTTTGTTAATTATTTATTTATCATGCAATGCTTTATCTTTATCACCCATTTCTCTCTCTTCAATAACATAGGAAGTCATCTTTGTTCTTTTTTATTGTGTAGGTAAACAAAACGCTCAAGCCAGATAGGTGGCAGGCAAGTTTTGATAGTGAAGGAAAGATACACGGGTTTCAAAAGGTTTTGAAATTAATCATTTTTGGGGTAAGAGCGTTTGTTATCTTTTGAAATCTGAAGCACTAGATAAAGGTTGTGTGCTGCTCTACGCGTTGAGATGTAGTGTGATTATTATATCTTTCTTTAGCTTACCTTTTCTGTGTTTATTTATATATTATGGCATATGTAATCTGATACAGCCTCTCATAAGTCATAAATGAATTCACTTGGTTAGTTGGTTTTGTACTTTTTTTTTTAAATTTTGGGTCTTGCTCTATGTATAATGGCACTTGCGATTGTAGTCAATACTCAGTAGTCATAGTAGTAGTAAAATGAATGTCCCATTCAGTTGTTTGATTGTTTCTTAATGTAGCTAAAATGCACTGCTTATTGCATAATAGGGTGTTGATCCATCTATAAGACCGGAAGTTTGGGAATTTCTTTTAGGCTGTTATGCTCTAACCAGCACAGAAGAGTATCGAAGACAGCTGAGAAATGCTAGGAGGTATTCCGCTTCCTGGTCACTGCAATCTGTGGGTTTCACGATCATCTTAGTCATGTTCATTATTGTCGTCATGTTTGTTCAAAATTTTACTACCTCCGTCCCTTTTTAGTTAGTCATCTTTGACTTTTCTAGACAATGATCATATTATTAACAAAGAACATTTTAAATATTTTAGCTAATGTATATTTTTGTGAAACTTATAAATTTTACTTTAACAAAGAACATTTTCATATTATAAATACTTTTATATATAAATATATTATCGGCCAAAGTTTAGCATCATTGACAGGAAAAGTCAAAGATGACTACCAAAAAAAGGGACGGAGGGAATATAAAACTAGGAACTGATTTTTTGCGTGGAACTGTGATCAGTGCTCATTTTTAAATTCTCCTTTTTGTTCTATAATGTCGTTAACACATTTCCATCATTTGTTACCGAAGCACCCAAGCACTCAAGTGGTGATCTTTAGGTGCACTCTTCAATGAGTTCACTTTGAGTTTGTTTAGGGTGCTATGAGAGGGGGCGGGGCGGGGGTGAATGGGGATAACAAATTATGATGACTACTGCTGCAAGCCTGCAACCAGTGGTACTTCAAAGTATTCTCATGGAATAGCTATGATGCCATGTAGTCTTGGCATCTTCTCGGCCAACATACAGAAAATGCTGGACATTTGAGGCCATAAGGGCGTTTGGTAGTATGTGATGGTGAGATGAACATATTTCTCTTATAAGTGAACTGAAAGTGAGAAGATGGACTCAATTCTTCTAGAGCGTCATTTTTTTGTTCAAGCTGGTTTGCTGCAGATAAGATAAATTAATGTTCAGAGATTTTTTGTTCTATCTTTATTTCTTATTAAAGTTAAAAGTCCAAGGTAAGTTAAAGCAAAACAGTCTTTATTATAGTTGCTGAAAACAGAATTTGACCCTACATGGCTACATTCTGCCACTTCTTCCAGTTTCCTTTTGCTGCTTGTTTCTGATCATTTCTCTCAACTTTTTTCCTAGCACAACCGTACAGCGATAAAGTTTTTATTGTTATTATCGCATACTTGCATGTAACTATTCATTTAGTACTATATTTATAATGCCAATAATAAGCATATACTCCCCCCAGTCCACCAAAAAGTATCTTGTTTGAGATAGTGAAAGCAGTATCACAAGCATGATTCTTGTTTTTGGACTGTGGTAGTAGTGAATACATATAAGTATAACTTAGAGTGAATTGTTGTGGCATGAAGAAACTCCATTAAATAGTCTATTAGACAATTAGTATAACAAATCTATATAATGTTTATGCAGGGAAAGGTACATGGACCTCATAAAACAGTGCCAAACAATGCATTCCAGTGTTGGAACCGGTTCTCTTGCTTATGTTGTAGGGTCTAAAGTTTTGGATATGAGAACAAGTTCCAAAGGGGATGGAAGAGGAGAACCAAAAGCTGAAAATACACGAACCTCCGGCGCTGATTGTAGCAAGTTTGATAGTTACTCTGATTGGAACAATACTTGTATAGATACATCAAATGCTTGTGAAAGGGAAATCTCTAGTGATCCTGGTGACCTTGTAAGCGTGAGGGGAAGCACAGATGGTGTGGCATGCGACTCGTTTTGCTCGTTGCCCAATCCTGGTCCATATAGCTGTAGTCCCCCAATATTTGATTCAGAAGCAAATGGATCAGAACCTGTTGCTCGAAATGACTTTGACTTCCCTTCTCTGCCTGTGACAGATTTGTTTGAGAAAAATAGCAAAAATAAGAAAGTACGTAGGTTACATGATAGTAGGTATATACGGCGTAAATTGCAATTTAGAGATGAGCGTATGCACAGCTTCAGCATAAAGAACAATGCTGATTTAGTCATGGATTCAAATGTAACACAGTCTTATGATTCCTTGTATTCACGGAACTCTGAGATTGAAAGAGCCAGCCCTGATGTGCCTGATCCCCTTTCACTGCATAACAAAGTGGAACATGAAATTGATATGTATGACAGAACTAGAATTTCTGAAGCATCTGATATGGAAAATGTAAATGTGAATACATCTGAAGGAGGTGCTCTTGGTGAAGATAGAGTGACTGAATGGCTCTGGACACTTCATCGAATAGGTAAATTACCAGCTACTCCTATTGTTATTTACCTGACTGTGCGGGCCAAATCACACAGTTTAAGATGTACTGGACTGATAATTTAATCAATAGCTAAAAATCTAAAATACACTCATTAAAGACACCCTTTCCTCAATGTTTTTTTGAGTAAAGGATAATTAAATAATATAGAAGCGTAAACAGGGAAAACAATATTTAATATGCGTATATTTCTTAAATGGGCAGGTAAAAAGAAACAAGGAATATTGGTCAACCTAGACAGATTAATTGGAATAGAGCGATTAATGATTTTATTTACTTTCCCCTCTAATTTGATTGATCTGAAATTAATGACTGATAATTTCAATTTTCTCTTGCTTAGTTGTTGATGTAGTCAGAACAGACAGTCATCTTGAATTTTATGGGGATGCAAAAAACATGGCTAGGATGTCTGACATACTTGCTGTTTATGCGTGGGTTGATCCTGCCACAGGGTATTGCCAAGGTTGTGCCTTCTGTTCCCATTGAATTTTTTCACTCTTCATAATTGCTGGAGTTTTTTTCATAATTGCTGAAGTTTAGAGGCTCACTTTTGATATTTATTTCTCTCTCTGACCCAACCTTTTTATAGGAATGAGTGATTTGCTATCTCCCTTTGTTGTTCTATTTGAGGACAATGCAGATGCTTTCTGGTGCTTTGAAATGCTTTTACGTCGAATGGTAAATCCTAAACAGAAACTTTGTTGCAATTTTATTTGTATTTATTTCCTTGATGTTTTTAGGATTGTAATCTTCATTTTTATTTTCCCCTTTCTGTAGCGTGAAAATTTTCAGATGGAAGGCCCAACCGGTGTCATGAAACAGTTGCAAGCATTATGGCATATCTTGGAATTTACTGACAAGGAAATGTTTTCTCACCTGTCAAGTATAGGTGCTGAGAGCCTCCATTTTGCATTCAGGATGCTTTTGGTACTCTTTCGCAGGGAGTTATCTTTTGATGAGGCTCTTTGTTTATGGGAGGTTTGTGTTAACACTGTTTAGCTGTTGTGTAAACTGGCATGCCATGACATTGATAAGCATAAAATCGCATTTTTGTTTAAGTACTTAATTGCATATTTTTTATCATTGCATGCTGATATCATACCCAATATCTTCATGCGCACATGTAAATTGATTGCACACTTGAACAAGTCCTTGTTCCTTTTTTATTTTAGTTTTACTTATTTGCTTTGCCTTAATACATCATGGCTCCACCGGCATTTCTGCTCATTTGTTTATGGGAATGGAAAGGGGAAAAGTAGGGGTTTTCTTCTCTTCAGACATAAAAAAAGATGATGAAGTGGCAGGGTGATGATTTGAATTTGTTGTTGTTGGGGGGTTGCACTTATATTTTATTGAAAGGTGGACCAAGTTTGAAGTAAGCACAGGCTTTACTAGTACTTCCTCGGTCCCAAAGAAAGAGTTCTGTTTATAATAGTGCTTTTAGTATTACAAACATGCCACTTTTTTTATATGGGGGTAACTGGGTAAGTGTTAGTAACCACTCACCAAGGACATAACAAGTATGTAGGCCACTTTCTCTCATTTACTGAAAGCCCACCATTTAAGTCTCTCTGTGCTGGACACTAGCAACGTCTTGGCACGAGTAAACTCCAAGTATCATGTCCATTTATTACATTCATCCTCAGTAGGAAAAAGTGTATGCGTCAAAGGTAATACACCGAAAGAAAGTGCTGATGCATAATTTTCAATTCATACTCACAATAATTTCTACTACCTGATAAGCTCATGTAGCAGTTTACTACATTCACCATGCAGATGATGTGGGCTGCTGATTTCAAGAAATCTATGGCTTGCAATCTGACGGAGAGCTGTCCAGAATTATTGGTCATCCAGATTCCAAAGGAGTCAGATGTGGAGTTGGACGAAGAAAGTATTGACAATAAAAGTAAACACTCTAGTGAGTCACCCTCAAAAAATGGATATGCAGAAAATACAATTTCTGAGAACACTGGATTGAAGTCAACTTTGGTTCACCCCTTTTGTGGGTTGGCTAGAAATTTGTGGTCAAAAAGCGATCACATGCAGAATGGAACTGATGTGCCAAGAATTTGGAGTAGTGATGACGAACTACCAGTTTTTTGTGTGGCAGCTATTCTTGTTTTGAACCGACAAAAGATCATTAAAGAAACCCGTTCCTTCGATGATATGATAAAGGCAGGTTCATTCTTAACTCTTTATTGTGAAATGTTGCTTATTGTGAATTGTGATTCATTTTATCCATTGCTCAGCGATAGTTTTGCAGACTCATGAAATGGCATGCATGTGTTGGGTAGTACTTAATGGTACTGTCAGTATGGTGGATGGCCAATCTACCTTACGCTGCCATTTCACACAAATTATTTATGGGGTCTAAGCTCAAAGCCACAAGTCCATCCTGGCACAGCTGGCATCTAACGACATGGCTAATTTGCTTTTCTCTTGCTTTACCATGAATTTCTATCTTTTAAATAATTATCTGCTTGGTTCACTGTATTATTAGCCATATATCAATACCCCTGCATTCTTGGATAGGCATCCCACATATGGAATGCCATAATTGTTTAACTGTGCAGTTTCAAGTTCTCTGCTTACCATGTTATGCATATACCATATGGAATTTGATGAAAGATTTGCTTTTACATGGACTCGATTGGATTTAGTGCAAATTGTGTGCCCTTTTCATCCTTAATGTTTAATTGTTTTCTGGTGTGTCTTGATTTCTTCCCTTAATCTTGGTCATGGTGTTTTAAATAGCATGTTAACTTTTTAGTGCGCTGTTATTTCTTGCCATAAATGCATAATGCGTTTTATCCTCTTCCTGATCTGGGTTGTGCTCCTTGTTGGAGGGGGGAATCCAGGAGGAACAGGGATGGGCCACTTGTGGATATTCAGTTTATGAGGGCAGATCATATTAGGCCGGCCTGACAGGACCTGCTGTCCGGCCAAGTCCATTTGGGGCTCTTCCCGATGAATTTTTTTGAGCAGGTTCTTCATAAAGTCTAGTCTATGCCCATCAAACTTCAGCTAAAAATTCAATCGGGAAGTCAGTCAAATATGAAATTGAAAAACACTGCGCTGTTTATATATATATATATAGAGAGAGAGAGAGCTCTTCTCATC